CATCAAAAACAACATTCCAAAAAATAACTGACGAGCTCCGCTTTTAGGCTGGGCTAAATCTATATATTATGTAATTGTTTATTTAAAGTGAAATAACAAGTAACCCTTTCACTCCCAGGATCTGAAAGTCAATTCGCCCAGTTAAGTGTAATACCAAACATTTCTTTGTTTGCTAGTCCAGAGCATTTCATGCTAAAACAAGCCCATTTCTCTTAGTTAATAATTCTTCCGATTCCAATTACCTGTCCCCTGAATAAAGACTTTACGATAGGAGTCTGGTAGAAATTTTTAGCACGAGTGGCAAAAACAAAAAGACATAAAAAAGGTTAACTATTCCACTCTGATTTTACACAACCTTCCAAACTTTTTTTTTTTCTTTTCACACTTTTGACTCAAAACGTTTTAAAAAAAAGTCTCGCATCCCTTTTTCCTAAAAAGAATGAGGTATTTACATATCTCGAATATGCCTTAGTTCTTATAATCTATGCGCGTCGACATTCATTTGTGCGAGCGCTCACGCGTTTCGTTTAATTGTGTCGGAGTTCTGGGTTAGAGATACAAGTTTCGTATACAAGTTATGACCGTCGGATTAAAGGTCATTAAATACATTTTTCGGCGATTGCAAGTTTCGGGGTCTTGGAAAAATTTAAATCTATCAAAGTACTGAAATAATGACGCATTACTACTATTTCTGCACAGTTGTATGATGAGTCTGCGGTTCCATCGTGCTAAGACCCTTCCAAGTGTAAATGGAAAACTACGCATTCGGATTTCTCGTAGGGAGAACGTAGTAGTTCGAATTTCTCGTGGTGAGATCGAACACTTTTTTTTTTNAAAAGAATGTATCAACACACAGCCAAAACAAAGTACAGATTTGATCGTGCCTCCAATAACTGTCACACTGAAAGAGGACCTAAATGTAACACCTGAAAAATACCAGGCTTTAATTAATGAGGAGATAGTGTGAAGTCATAGAATGAACTCACCGTATCATGGTAGAGTAAAGTAGAGAGAATAGAGCACTGTTTTCTTTGCAGTTTGTATTGTTCGCAGTTGTTACCGAAAATATAATAGCATTTGTTTTGATTTCTCCACTGTATTTTCGTTTGAATGTTTGCAATTTTTCTTTATCCACCACAGCGTACCACTTCGAATGGGTCAACAGTAGGACGAGGAATGAGAGAAGCGTAACTGAGAAAACCCTTTTGTACGCAGAAACCGTCCTGGGAATGTATTTCCAGAATGTGAAATGTATATCTTAATTACAACATGAACCGTGAACTGTGGTTGTCTACCACTGACGTACTAGTTGTCGATATATAACGCTTTGTGAACCGTGATTTGGTTTCTGATGTTTTTTTTTTTTTCTTAGTTCATTTGGCAAGAGCTTGCAGGCGTCGTGCACAGTGGCAAATCCGTACTACGTTACGTTTTACATATGGGCTTTTGTACCCCACGCTACCATAATTTCCCCTGCACTTTAGCGAGGCAAAAGCATTTAGCATTATTCCAGAATTTTAGAGGCATTTTCCCGAATAATAATTGTTTTTCTTTTTCAGAGAAAATAAAAATAGCTACTACCACAGAGACTACAGAATGTGCAATGCAATACGTTGCAAGGATTAAGCGAGGAGTAAAGACATGCTAACGCCAAATGACCTGCTTATTTTCCGTAAACGATTACTTGGACCGTTCATTTAAGTTTTAGTGACAAATATATATATATATATATATATATATATATATATATATATATATATA